CAAGGATGGCAGCCTGTACTTCTTGCTGCTGAAGGACCGCAAGACCCGTTACGTGTGGGTGAAGCCGGTCGCCAAGAAGTCAGATGCCGTGCAAGCGTTCGTGCAGTGGCTGGCGGTGGCTGAGCGGCAGACGAAGAAGTCGGTGTTGATGCTGCGCTCAGACCGGGGAGGGGAGTTCCTCGGGAAGCAGTTCACCGACTTCATGAACGGCAAGGGGATCGTCCATGACCTGACCTGCCCATACACCCCGCAGCAGAATGGCATGGCGGAACGGGAGATGAGGACGGTGGTGGAGTCGGTGTGGACAATGCTGCTGCACATGGGCGTGTAGCACCACTGGTGGCACCTCGCTCTCCGGCAGGCCGTCTGGGTCCGCAACTGCCTTGAGAGGTCGGCGCTGCCGCCGGGGACGACGCCGTACCAACTGCTGACCGGGAAGAAGCCCGACTTGTCGCTGGCGCGGGTGTGGGGCTGCATGGCGCAGTTCTTAGTCACCGAGCAGCAGCGTGGTGGGAAGCTGCAGCCGAAGGCCAGGTGGGGCCTGCACCTTGGCGTGTCGGCGGCGAGCAAGGGCTGGGAGCTCCTCGACGTCGACGCCGACCGGGTGGTCACCACGTCGGATGTGGTGTTCTACGAGGAGCTGTCGCTGGCCGAGTGGAAGACAGAGTACGGGTCGGTGTCCGGCCGCTCGTCGCCCACCCCGCCCTCTGACACCTCGTCGGCGACGCTGCCTCTGCTTGCCGAGGTCGGTGAGCTTGCTATTACGGACGTCGAGGACGTCCGTCCCCCTACCCCTCCCCCTCCGACCCCTGCCCCTCCCCTCGTGGCCGACCTGCGTGGGCTGACCTCGATGTCGGCCTCCGGCGATGAGGGGAGTAGTGGGACGTCGCCTTCGACCAAGTGCATCGCCGGTGGCCGACGTGACGAGCGGCAGGTCGACGTGGGATTACAGTCGACGTCGACAGGGGAGGAGCAGGTCGAGAAGCAGGTCGAGGACCAGCGGCCGACAAAGGAGCAGGCAGCAGTGACGCCGACCAAGGAGCAGTTGGCGACCCCGCAGTCGGCAGGGGAGCCGACCATAGGGGAGAAGTCGGCTGGGACGCCGGCTGAGGAGCAGCAGGACGCCGAGGGCAGCGACAACAGCAACGATGGAGGGGACGCCGAGGAGGTCCAGCCAGGACCACGGCGTTCAGGCCGACTTCGGAGGCCGCCTGACTTCTTCGTCCCCGCTGCCTTCACCACGGTGTACGACGTGGACGATGAGGCCGACGACCTGCTGTACGACGATGCCGGGGAGGATGAGGAGTTTCCAGAGCTCGACCCCGACATGCTAGCCGACCCCGAGCACCGTTGGGACATCTCGACGATGACGGTGAAGGAGGCGTTGGCGAGCTGGAAGGGCCCGACGGTGAAGGCCGCCATGGAGGAGGAGATTCGCAGCCTCCTCAACATGGGAACGTGAGAGTTGGTCGAACGTCCGCCGGGAGTGAACGTCATGAAGAACCGGTGGGTGTTGACGACGAAGTACCACGTCGACGACACCGTCGAGCGCGAGAAGGCGAGGCTGGTTGTGAAGGGCTTCACGCAGATGTACGGCGCCGACTACGACGAGACGTTCACGCCGGTGGGCAGCTACGTTACGCTGAGGATCTTCCTCAGCATCGTCGCCGTCCGCAACCTCAACCTGATGCAGCTCGACATGAAGAACGCCATCTTGCAAAGCAAGCTCGACAGGGTGCTCTACATGTCCCAGCCAGACTACTTCAACGACGGGACCGGCCGGGTGTGCAAGCTGCTGAAGAGCCTGTACGGGCTAAAGCAGTCGCCGCTGTTGTGGTACTTGGCGCTCAACGACGTGCTGGTCGGCGCCGGGTGGAAGAAGAGCCAGGTCAACGAGGCTCTCTACTTCAAGGTCGGAAAGGACGGAGTGGCGTGCTCAGTGCTGATCTACGTCGACGACCTAATTGTCGCCAGCAGTAGCGCCGCGATGTTGAAGGAGCTGAAGGAGTTGCTGGAAGCAGCCTTCGAGCTGCGTGAGATCTCGCCGTTGCAGAAGTACCTTGGGCTGGAGATCGTCCGCGACAGGTCGGCGGGGAAGCTATGGCTGCACCAGCAGAGCTACACTGACAAGCTGCGTAGGCGCTTCATCGACGAGGAGCAGACCGGGCGCACCCCGAAGACGCCGGTCTCGGTCGATGCCTACGCCGAGCTCACGTTCGATGACGAGGAGGCACAGGAGCGGCAGGAAGAGGAGTACCGGCAGAAGGTCGGCTCGCTGCAGTTCGCGGCGACGACGACGAGGCCGGACATCGCCTTCGCCTGCAGCAAGCTGGGGAGCGGCCTCACGGTGAGGAGCGACCAGCACTGGCGCGAGGTCGACCGCTGCCTCGCCTACCTCGCCAATACGCGCGACACCGCACTGGAGTTCGGCGGTGGACCTGAGCCGCTGGAGCTGGTCGGCTACGTGGACGCCGACGACGCCGGTGACAAGCAGAACAGGACGAGCACGGGTGGCTATGTGTTCGTCTATGGAGGGGCCGCAGTCTCCTGGTCAAGCCAGCGCATCAAGTGTGCGACGTTGTCATCGACTGAGTCGGAGTACGTGGCAGCCACCGAAGCCGGCAAGGAAGGACGCCGACTTCGCTTCCTCCTTGTAGAGTTCCGGCAGCTGGATGCCGGGAAGCCGACCGTCCTTTCGATGGACAACAAGTCGGCTATCACAGTCGTCGAGGGCATGGGGTTGACAGGCAACCTCAAGCACATGGAGCGGCGACAGGCCTGGCTGCAGCACATGGTGAAGCGCGGGAAGTTCTCGCTGAGGTACATCCCGACCACTGAGCAGCCGGCCGACTTCCTGACGAAGGCGCTGCACTATCCGGCCTTCAACCGGTGCTCCGTCGCCATCGGCCAGGTGCGCTTGGCCGACGTGGGCAACGAAGATGACAACGTGCAGTAGTAGGTGCCATGCCCTCTTGCATGGCTGGTGCGGTGGACAACGTGCTGTGTGTTGGGTGCACGTTGACGAGCTATTCTCCGAGGAGTACTGCCGAGTGGACTTGGGGGGGCCAAGCGTGAACGCGGCAAGGGAGTGTCAACGAGAGTTGTGTGTTGGCCCCGTCCACGCTTGGGCGGAGCCGACTTCGTGGTGGGGTGTACGGAAGGTACAGCCGACTTGCAGCTGTGGGCGACGCCGACTTGGACGAGCTGGTCGACGGGGTTGGTCGACTTGGTGTGGTTGTCGACTTGGGAGGTCAACGAGCACATACAGGAGCAGCTGGTCGACATAGTTGCCCGGTCGACCAGGATACCTGGGTGACGAGGTTCTGCGAAGGAGTGCGACGGTCACCCAGGCGAAGTTGGCGAGACCTACCTCCATGGTGGGATCCCGAGGTCGTCGTGGCGGATCAGAGGCACTCGCTAGCCCAAGGTTGACGTGGTGTGTGCGCTGTGCAGGTGACGAGACTTTGCATGCCAATCATCTGCGCGCACCTGCAAAGCGGGTGCACTGCTGTCCTGCGTGAGCAATGCTGGCACACCATCAACCTGCAGCGTTGGCAAGTTGTTGACTTTGCACTGCTGTAGCGTGGTCGACCAAGTCGTGCTGGAACGCGGTTGACCATGCTGTGCTGGCAGTTGACCAACCTGAATGCTAGCTCTGATGTAGTCTTGCATTGCCAAATTCATTGTACCAATTGTTTTGAACTTTTCCTAGTGAAACTCTTGCCAATTTTCCCCGTGAACTAGCAAGTAGTGTGTGCACAAGGAAAACGACTAAGGACTAACGAACGCAGAGATCACACGAGCACACGTGCCTAGCCCGTAGCCTAGCTCCCGTTGCTGCAGTTTTCTCCGCACTTATGAGGTGAGTGGGGTGTATGAGAGGAATGGGGGGCATAGAGGTATGGTGGGTATGAGAGGAGTGAAGGGTATGAGAGGAACCGGGTTTATCAGAGGAGTGGAGCTTTGAAAGGAGTGAAGGTTATGAAAAGAGGGGATGTGTGAGGCGTGGGGGATTCAAGAGGAGACTGGTATGAGAGGAGTGGGGGGTATAAGAAGAGTGAGGAGTAACAGAGGGGGTATGGTAGGAGTTTAGGGGCATGAGAGGAATATAGAGGCATGACAGAAGTGGGGTTTACGAAAGGAGGGAGTTTATGAGAGGAGTTGGGAGTATAATACCGTCATTACCCGGTAAGTAGACAGTGTTGAATAGTAGACAGGGGTTGTCTATTATCCGGGTGTCTCTTTTAAACAAGCTCACCTCATTATAAGACACCTATTTGTGTGTACGCGTTAAGCCAGTGTAGAGGTTAGGGGCAATCATATAGCGAGGGCGTATCTTCTAAACAGTTCTTTCTCCATTTATAAGAGTTATAAGACACCCTAAATCGTCCCAAATACAAGACAACCCCAGCATTTTTGCCCGTGTACGAGATAAGACATATATGTCTACTATCCTAGCGATGACGGTAGGAGTTGGGGTTGGGGAATGGTATGGGTGGGGGGTAAGAGTGGATAGGGGGTATGAGAAGTGGTGGGTATGAGAGGAGTGGTGGGTATGAGAGCAGTGGTGGGTATGAGAGGAGTGCTGGTGTGAGAGGAGAGGCGGCATGTGAGTGGGGAGATGGATAGGGGATATACAGAGGAATGTTTAGCTTTTCAAGCTTGATGTTTGAAGAGCGATATTCTGTGTAAAATCCCCAAAACAACCCTATACGTGAATCTAATTCACAATCCTGAAAATCATGCATGCAATAGCTAAAAGTTTCAGGAAGAAGGTGACAAGCATAAAATCTGGCCCATGGACAAGCCAAAGCTACAGTGTACTACACAGCCCAATTTTCCTGTCCCATTTTTTTGCTCATCAAAAGATGCTACCAGTATCCCTTCCACAGCCTCTGTTAGTGTTCCTGAGTGTCCCATACCATGTTTTCATATGAAGCAAACAATTGGCATCAAAAGCACAAGGCAAATTAGTAAGCTGCATGTGAAAACAAACTTGATTACGTGGAAGAGCCACTTGGCATGCCCCCCTCGCGCTCCGCACGGGCCATTTCAGCAGTGAAGCTGGAGGAGCCAATGGAGCTCCCAAGCTCCATGTCAATGCGAGATTTGGCCTCACCCACATGGCCCTCATGTGCTCCGGACGCCTCCTGCTTCAACTTCACCAGCTCCCAAAGCACTTGATTCATGGAGGGGCGGGAGGCTCCATGCTTGGCGGTGCAGGAGAGGGCAAGGCGAGCCCAGCGCAGCACCAAGTCATCTGGTGCGTCCAAGTGAGGGTCCTTGAATGCCAATACAGCACCGGAGTCCACCACAGGGCCACCTGCGAGGTTAAATGCATAGATCACATGGAATTTGGTGATACCATATATTCACAGAGTTTCACATTAAAATAAAACCTGTGAAGAATGGTAGAAATGTGGCAACGCAGAGATTGATGGAATGATGTATGATCATAGGAAATTAGTGCTACATAGAAAGCAGGATGATAGGAAGGTGAATCCTATTACAGATACAAGGTGTGATTCAAAGGTAAGTGGTCGTCTTAATCATTGCAGCATGTATCCTGTTGGGAATGGAGGTAAGGAGAACATGAATCGGCCTACATATGTTTGGCTAAGGGCAACAAGGAAACATTGATATTATCAAGCAAACTCACTACGCAGTGCAGCTGGCTTTCTCATACGTTGTGTTACAAGATCTGCCATCCTTGGCATGATACACTTCTGTCTCTCACCCATTGTTTGAGATTGATCTGGTTTTTCTCTGTTACATGCACAGCCTTGCGCGCCGTGATAACCACGAGCGTCACCACGCCAAAACTGCAACTCGTCAATAAACAAAGGTATCATACTCGAAATCACGCTCAGATGTACAAAAGCTTTATGGTCACAATGAAATTTGTTTCCCAATCATTCCACAAATGATCGTCATGCAAGCCCCTTCACCAAGCATCACCAAGCTACTCAATTGGTAAAAACGCCTGGAAATGGCTTCAATGTCAGGCATGGACCTTCTTTGAGTGTGAGACAAAGGAAACATAGAAATCACAGCAAGCCCGAAACCCAAACCCTATCTTCCCTAGAAGAAACGAAACTCATGAGCATTTCTCATCAAATTTGGAAGCCTCCTTGAACAGTATTCTCATGCGAAAGTGCTCATCTGCTAACCTTCACTGTTTTCTCATGCCATTATAACTTGCATGGATTTGCTAGCATAACCTACTCTGCTCACCTGTGCACATCTGCTGCTGGAGTGGCCTTATGAGACTTGAAATATGCAGGGTCCACATAGCCCGGTGTTCCCATCACTCGTGTGGTAGCCACAGACGTGCCCATAGCAGAGCCCCCACTAAGCTTCACAAGCCCAAAGTCTGCAATCTTGGCCTGCCCATGGACAACAAGAGCATTGATGTGAAAGATTCACAGCATGCGAGGCGATGCAAAACACCACAAAATATTTGCTAAGGGATGGATACGAGTAGGCATCTTTCACCATGTACAGCAAGGCCTACCACAATATTGACATGCCTGCATCTTTGCATCAAGGAGAATGTTGGCAGGTTTGATGTCGCGATGCACAATGCCAAAGTCATGAAGATACTGCAACCCCTTTGCCACTCCAATCAGAACGTCAAGCCTTTGACGAAGCGAAAGAGGATGGGAGACACCAGAACCAATCCAGCTCTCAAGGTCGTGGTTGGGCATGAACTCGTAAACGAGGATCTGCTCCATGAGTCGTGTGGAGAAGTCGATGTCGATGCAATAGCCCAACAGACGCACAAGATGCGGATGGTGCTTGCTTGCCATCTCCTTCACCTGAGAGGGAAAACAGTAAACATATCAAAGGAGATTGAATAATCAGACCATCAGCTATGGTTGGGGTTGGCAGAAGAAACTAATGAGAAACGTGCCACTAACATATCAACAAAAACTCACACCATGGTACCTCTCTTTGGAAGTCGTTCGTGAGCACTCGAGCTCGCTTGACTGCCCAGGCTTGATTGCAATCGTGGGGTGACACACCCTTGTAAACATCCCCAAAGCTACCACTTCCTATCCTGTTCCCCTCTGCCCAATCTCCTGTGGCCTTAGACATCTCTGCCAAAGAGTACTCTCGACACACGTATGGCCGTGCTGCCTCCATCTCCACCACAAAGTCATCATCCTGCATCCCTTGTACTGCTGGTAATGGTAGCGCTGCTGCGGCAGCTGCTGCAGCTGCTGCGGCCTCCCCTTCCGCTGCTGCTGGGTCCTTATCCTCATTATTTGGTACTGCAAAGAGATGAAAAAGATGGTGAACGTGAGAGAGAAGACTGATAATTCAAGGGGCCTGGGAATTTAAACCACCTACTCTGGATTGCTAATGACCCAGGAAGGACCAGCAAGCACCATTGCTTCATTCGTTGATTCCTGACGAATCGAGGTTCAGGCTGGATGAATTTCTACAAGGTGAATTCAGTCACATCCATGGTGAACAGTTTCGCCAACTTTTTGTACTGCCATCTCAACACCATACCTGAGTGGCTGTGTGATACCATGGCAATGAACCCCAATCCAGATATCCAGCTTGAATTTTGATCGTTCAACTAGAACCAAACCTGCCCAGTTCGACCCAAACCCATTATTCCAAACTTGGGACTAGGGGATTCACATTCTGCAAAAAAAAAAAAAAAAAACTAGCCAGTCTGGTTGTCTCATTTCCTCATTACTATTTCGCATAGAGCGGCAGGCAAAAGACAGTGCCATTACATGCAATTTTGTGGGGTTTTACGCCGCACCCCAAAAATAAGGTTCGGACTAGTGATTCTGAGTCTTTAACCCAAAACTCATGAGTCAGACCCAACCAAGAAGACGGCTTGACATCTGGGAGGACCAGGAATGGTCCATGGTGAGAAATTGCACATGCATTTGTTGCTTTTACTCTTGGATTTTTTTATGGTCTTCTGATTTTGATGATACTCTGATTTTCTTTTGATTGCCTGGCGTTTGCCTTGTTATTGCTTCATCTAGGCTCAGCATCTACGTAAATATCTTACCTTGAAACAAAATGTTATTTATTGATTTCTTGCCATCCACATTGGTGCTAGTATTGTCTCCTTCTGCTACCCCTTTGGTGCGGTATCGCTTCCACAGAAGCCAGGCCAACAGCACCAGCAGCACGAGGACAGCCACAGTGCCAGCAGCAGCAATGCCAGCAATGCCTCCGCTGGATAAACCGCCTCCAGTTTGGGAGAGAGGGGCTGTGGGCTCACTGGGAGATGACGTTAGAGGAGGTGGAGAGGGGTTTGGCACTAGCGACGGGGGAGTGTTGGCACTGGCGACGGGGAGGGTGTTGGCACTAGCGATGGGGAGGGTGTTGGCACTGGCGACGGGGAGGGTGCTGGCACTAGCGACGGGGAGGGTGTTGGCACTGGCGACAGGGAGGGTGTTGGCACAGGCGACGGGGAGGGTGTTGGCACTGGCGACGGGGAGGGTGTTCGCACTGGCGAAGGGGAGGGTGTTGGCACTGGCGACGGGGAGGGTTTTGGCACTTACGATGGGGAGGGTACAGTTATGGGGTAGAAAGACAGGGAGAGGGAAGGGAAAAGGCAATCAAACATGAGGATGGCGGTTGGCTTGGTGAAAGTGGATGTGGCATTAGGCACAGTTTGCATGGGGGGAGGAAGCAAAGGAAGGCAATGAAGGATAGAAACACGTATTCTTCAGTAAAAGCCATGAGGATGCATACAACAGAAGCACATATTGAGGAGTAGCGAAGCTGTAATTGTTACCGCACCTGACAGTGGAAAAGCTAGCTAAGTAGGTGGCTATGCACTGTTCATTCTCTTAGCGCTAATGAGAGCAAGGCAACAATGGGCTGTGAAAGCAGCAGCCACCTGCATAAGGTTAGCCTTACCTGGTCGTGGCTTGTCACATGTGGTGCAGAAGGAGCCGCACTCGCTGCAGAAAGCACTTGAATTGGTCTGTGGGACCACGCAGCTGCTGTAGTCAGGTGGGCATGTGATTGCAGTCAAGGATATGTTCCTGCATGCGAAACGGGTTCTCGAACGGAGCATGTGACCGCAGCTGCATATGGAGCGTTTTCAAACTATGGATCGGGAATGGGTTTCAGCTCTAACTAAAGCGCTTTGAGGTTGGTATTTGAGATTTATGGTAACACGTTGAAATACTTTACCAGGCCAAATAGACATGAGCACAAGGGCGAACACTTGATTGTTTCTGGCCCAACATGTTCAAGGCGAACATGTTCGTGTTTGCTTTGTGTTTAGGGCGTTTAGGGAAGAAACCAGCTGGAAATATAAACTTGCTGAAACCGCCGCCCATATCATAAATAGTAGCCCATTCTACACATCCTGGGCTAGTGCACGGATGTTGAAAAGTTGAGCTTGAACATGCACATCCTGGGCTAGTGAACATGTTCGGGGCGAACTTGAAGGTGACGTGTTTGCCTTGCATCGAACACACATGTTCAGCGTACCGAACATGTTTGTGTTCGCCCGAACACTTCCAGGGAGGAAGGTGGAGGAAGGTGTTCGGGTGTTCCCCTTTGGGTGGTGAACACCTTGATGTTTGCCCAAAAACGAACATGTTTGGGGCGAACATGTTCGTGTTGGCCATATCAGCAGTCTTCAAGACACATGATCCTGGATGGTGGATTTTGGCATCCAGGTTGGTGTGGCTATACTTGGTGGACGTTTGGGAGTGAAGGAAATAAAACAAGTAGATTTTTGTTCCGCCACAACTATTTCATTAGAGTCTAGGTACCCTAGCTGCTGGAGCTTGCAGTCTAGGCTGTGGAAGGAGGGTTGGGAAAAAAGGCGAGCTAAAAAATGAGCTTGATTAGTGTGTTTCATCAACCCTTTTTAACGAGCAGATTTGCGTTCGTCGGAAAGGGATGTCGAAACGAACACGAACATATTCGGCCCGAACACGTTGAGCCACAAAAACGAAACATGTTCGAGGCGCACCGAGCAGGTGCTTGCCCTCGTGTTTGTATCTAACATGTATCCTGTGTATGTCTAATTACATGTATCCTGTGTACATAGAATTGGTGTAGACATTAAGGTTTGGTCATATTAGTTATAGGGTGTTCCTCGAATAAATTTTATCAACAGCTAGGTACCCCAATTCAACACGTTGCTCGACCTTGAGTACGCGGTTCCAACCTGGACCCACGAAGTCCAACATTGGAAACGCGCTTTGGCAAACTTTGAGTGTTACCCACATCCCTATCTCGACTGTGGGTGAGTTGAGCATCCATTTGGCACCCCAAGTCCATTGGGGAACACTTTCTTCACTTGGACCAGCCCAAGTCGCCTCCAAGCTAGCCCTCTTCGAATTCTGTCAATTGGTTCATGTTTTGCTTGTATCGGCTTGCCTTGCTTCGGTTACGCTACATATTTCTCAAGCATTTCTACAATGCTAAAGTGCCTTACAGGTATGAAAGAAGTTTGAGGTTGCCTATTGTTGGAGGGAGTTGGCCCGTGAGGTTGTTCTGGCTGACGTCACTGCAGTGGATGGAAACAATAGATAAAAGACAGAATAGAAACATTCAAAGCATTGCTAACAAGATACCTAACTGTGCATACATGCAAGAAATTTTACCTGTACAGGGATGGATACACAAAAGAATAAACAAAAGATTGGTTGATGTTAGGAGACAGTCAGAGGAGATGGAAAAGCCGTGGATTGTAGCAGGGGACGCATATCCTATTAGGCTATTCCAGGTCAACATGGTTAAGTTGCAATAGAGATTTTTGTTCACCCAACGTGACAAAGTCCAGTCAAGCATGAGATGCATAACCAGCTTTATAAGAGATATTTCCCAACCAGGCAAAACACATTTCAAAATCAACATAGGATGTTTGTTGGGCGGAAGAAGGTTAAAGCCAAAGAAGTCACAATTCGGCACTAGGTTTTATATATACCTCCAACCTATAGCCAGTGCAAGATCTGTGAATGAGCTCAAGTGACCCGACATTGTGTTACACACTGCATGCATTATGAGTTCCTTACGGTGTCCTGAGGCATGGCTGAAAACCATGCTCACGTAAACCTGGGAAAGAGTGATGTTGAAGTATCAAAGCAAGAGTGCATAAAGGCACGAACCACTTGTTAGGCTGCTCATGCTTGCATTGCAACCCCTCTCATTAGTCATAGCCAAGGGCAGGCTCCAGTTCACCCTTAAAACTGATAAACTAAGGGTGAATCCACGTTTTGAACAAGCCTAGGATCAAGCTAGGGAAACCCCGCGTTGGGAAGATTATGACAACTACAATAAGTCCTGCTGGGTTCTGGTCTTCAGTAAAATCCTGTTCCCGTCCGACTGAGACCCACAACACCTGACTCATGAGTCGCGTTGGACACATGTGGGTTACGGTTTGAATAAGTCGAAGCTGTTTACTCTTCAATGCAGATGCATTTTATGGAGTCTCCCTTTCTGGGATAGGTACAACGTGGGTCGGACATGCTCATGAGTCGAGTTCATTCAAGTCACTTTGAGTGGAAGTCGAGTAGGCATGAGAAGGGGGCGAACTCGAATATGTTCGTGTTCGCCCCCTGACGAACATGGCCTTCTGCCGAACCGAACACTGCTCGGTTCGGCGAACGACTTGAGTGAAAATAGGTGTTCGCCGTTCGCCCTAGGAGGCGAACAAATTGCTGCAACAGGCGAACACGAACATGTTCGTGGCGAACATGTTCGTGTTTGCCCAGGGGGAAATTCAATATAGAGTAAAATTCAAATCTTCGCTCATTCTCTCCCCCCACCTCCCAAGCCAGTCCCGCCCTGCTTCATCCATCTAGTGCCAGTGTGCAATGGCGAAATGCTAGATCCGCACTTAAGCGGCGGCGAAATGCTAGATCCGCACTTAAGCAACGACGAAATGCTAGATCTGCACTTGAGCAACGGCGAAATGCTTGATCCGGACTTAAGCAACGGCGCAATGCTAGATCCGCACTTAAGCAACGATGAAATGCTCGATCCGCACTTAAGCAACGGCGAAATGCTCGATCCGCATTTAAACAACGGCGAAATTCTCGACCCGTACATAAGCAACGGCGAAATGCTTGATCTGCACATAAGCAATGGCGAAATGCTAGATCTGCACTTTACTAACTGCGAAAGGCCAGATCTGAGCCCAAACACCAAGGCCCGCGACCTAAAAATTGGTCGCGGGCCTATTCGTCAGCGAACACTTTGGTGTTTGTCGAAGGCCCGTGTCAAACACGAACACGTTCGTGTTCGACGCGCCTCGGCGAGCTGAGCCGGGCAAACGGCGAACGTGTTCAGGCGAACACTGAACACGTTCGCCCCGAACAATTTTGGCAAAAAAAAATCCTGTTCGGTTCGCCTCGAACACGTTCAAGGCAAACCAAAAAAAAGTTCGTCATATTGCTCATCCCTAAAGTCGAGTTAAGAGTTGTGTCAAGTTGAGCAAAGACCAGACGTTTTCTTAACTGCCAGCTCTGGGCCTCTTATTTATGAGCATGTGAGCGGTCATGTTGGCTCTCTTTATGATCTCTTGATGTTACTCACACGTCTTTGAGGTTTGTCATGTTGCCGATGGTGGATGGAATGGACCTAGTCAGCGCATTGTGGTTAAGATACCTTATGGTAAAACTTGCGAAGTGTTTTGCGGGTGGTAAGATTACATAAATATGGCTTCAAATGTGTCAAAAAAATGATACGGCAAAACACTAGTTACCAAGCACATGGGAAGGTGCCATAAAATTCAAACAACAATAACAAATGAATCAACTGGTAGGAGAGGGAAGATTGATATTAAAAAGCAAGAAGGACTAAAGAACTCATGACATGCTGAAATATGATTGTGATGCAAGCTACCTACTCTAAACGGTGCCTGATAAACAGGTGCTAAACGTTACCATCGACTAGCACACTGTGCAAGAAATAGCCCTCAACAAGTAAAAGCGAATGAAACCAATGGGCAATTATTTGAGCCTCACACAAACATGCAAATGTGTAGACATTCAGAAGCAACACAAAGGGATACTCATTACAAAACGTTAGTAGTGGTGGAAATGCATGTCAGGACATGAGAACGAGTTGAAACTTGTGAGCGTGTACATTGGTCATGCCTAGCATGTATGCTCGTTCTCAAATCAAGTTGACTTGGTGTTGCCATTGCAGGCCCTCTAATTTCTGAACCTGTGCGAGGTTATGTTGGCTCTCTTTCCTATTCCCTTCATGATACTCATAACCAAAAGAGGTTTCTCATGTTGCCGATGGCAGATGGAATAGACCCGCTCAGAGAATTGTGGTCAATAATCCTGATGATAGAACATACAAAAGGGTTTATGGGCGGAAAAAAACATTGAATACAGCAAGAAAATAGTCCTAGTGAAAAACAGCACACTATATAAACAGTGCTGCAAGAAACAGCCCTTGTACTAAGTGAAAACAATGGGCAATGATTTGAGCCTCACACAAACATGCAAATATGTGGACATTCAGAAGCAACACGAAGGGATAAACATTACAAAATGTTAGTGGTGGTGGAAATGCATAGCAGGACACGAGAATGAGTTGAAACTTGTGAGCGTGCACACTGCTTAGCAGAGCGTGGTGGCGTGCCAATCGTGCACACAGACACTTGTAAACACCCCATATCCAAGACCATGTTGGTGAAGAAGTGCACGGCAATGCTCTCGTGTACAAAGTGGTCGAAATGGTTCAATATGATTCTTATCACC